TTGCCTATTCGGAAGCGAACCGAACGCGAAAATTAAGTGCTAACATGTTCTACAAGACAAGCAAAGAAAATCACGTCGCTGACGCCATGTCGCGCCAAAATTTCAATGCGCTTGAATGAACTTGACCCCGATAAGGCTACAGTGAATTGTTTTCGCTATTTCACAAAAATCGCGATGAGGTGGCCCTTAACTGAAGAATTTGGCCACAAGTAAAATACGACAGGCTACCGAAGAAGCAGGAACTTGGCCAAACACTAATCCCTTCGTCGCCTGGAGAAATGATACATACTGACGTTTTTCAACCGACAAGAAATGTTTCTTTACATGCGTTGACAAACTCTCTAAGTTTTCGAATGAATAATTTTGTGGTCAGCATTGCATATGTCCTTCCTCCCCATAGTACCTCGAACGGCTAAGTTGCGAGGTTTCATAGCACTTTTCTAGAAATAGCGAAATGCATCAAGCTCCAGAGGGCGGTCGAGCAAACGACCGACCTTATCCCCCAGGCTACAGCGGAGTACAATAGATGTGTGCACTCCATCACAAATAGAAAACCGCTGGATGTTCTCCACGCACCGACCCCTAGTACATGGCCAGAAGTAGCTACCAAAATGCAAACGGTTTAAAAACACAAAACCAATGGGTAAGCCGGAACAGACTGAAAAGGGTTTTTAAGGTAGGGGGAAAGGTACTAGTAAAATCCAACCGGAGGCTAGGAAACAAGATCACCCCCTTATGTTCAGAGGTTGGAGGTTACAGCTGATATAGGGACAACGACACGCTTTACCAACCTTTCTCAATCGAACTATATACCGGTTATAGAATGGGACACACTTGTATGGGGTGGACGTAATTACTTAAGTCATGCCGCAATCCTCTCCAACTACAGACTGATGACGGGCGTGACTATTAAATTAACGGCAATGTTCCCACAATCTCACATGCGGAGATTGTTAGAAGAAGACACAAGACACGTACGAAACTTGTTGTCCGCTATCAATGTGCACTATAGAATGGGAAGAAGTTTGGACATCTTGGGCACAGCCTTAAAGGTGATTGCCGGCACCCCCGGCACCAACGACTTACAGAACATAAGAATTACAGAGTCACAGTTGGTCGAGTCCAGCAATTGGCAGGTAATTATAACATGAAACGCAGACAAAAATAAACCGTTTAACAGGCACCGTTAACTATTTGTTAAAAAAGGTCGAGACGGGTCACCTATACCAGACTCTGTTAGCCAGGAACAGAATGCTTTTCACTGCAATAAGTAACTTAATGCTAACAATCACCCATTCGACGTTTTGATAATTATAAGCCCCACCTTACTTGATGATGCTGACCTAGCCCACAACGGCTCCACCCTGCACCTCCCAGACAACACAGCACAAAACACGGCCGAACCACCTCGAACCGGTGACCTTGGTAGATGATGGCGTCATTATCATCAACGACCGGTCACTGTCAGCTACGATGTAGGCATCGAAACCAGAGTAGCCGGGACGAGCCTCATCACGTTTGATCGCTACGCGCTGGTAAACGATTCAAGATTCGTAATCCGCAACAACATTCAATGCCGGTTTCCTGGTGTCGCATGATCACTGCTGCTGAACATTAGCGGCCAAAACATGGTGCTTAGCCTCCCATATCTGCATCATCTAAGCGAGGAGAACTTAAAGTTTATAGAAGGGATAAAGAGCGTGTTCTACCGGGACTCCAGAATTTGGGCAGAATTTTTGATTTTGATTTCATCTTCCTAACGCAGTACATCAGGAAACGAAGAAACACCCGCCAAATCAAGGAATTGGTGGGAAGTCTTGGTACGAATGAGCACGGTCGCACTTTAGGCGGGAAGTAGTTAACCACATACTGCCCGCTACCATTGAGAAGCGCCAGCATCCGCTGAAAAACTGGGTCGCCTGCACGGGGCGCCTAAGCTGCCTTTCTTGGTCACAGCAACAGCAGCGCTCTGCAACCGGAGTTCTTAGGTTTAGTCTTAATTTAGCTACAACCGCAGCAGCCTGCTTAGTAATAAACAAACGAATTAAAAACTCACTTGATTGATTACTGCGCGGATCGGCCATCCAACCTAACAATAGTGAAATTCAACAAAATTTATATATAATATATATAATAACGTAGTTATAAGTTTGAAAATAAAAAGACTTTATTTCACGAGAGTGAATTCGTATCAGTTTATTATGTTGAATATCTGCATTAAGACTGAAGAACAAAAATTGGTTTACGCTATATTTTAAGCTAAATACTAATTGGAGTACGTGACTTTTTGCAAAGGGACAGCAGCTGCAGCTTGTTTATGCTAGCGCATAAATTTGTTATGGTTATTCAATTTGTAAACACACAGTGGGTTATACCACTAACCAAAGAACATGCATATGTACATAGGTCAAGTGACTGATCACTTAAATAATTTTATAACCAGCGGATATTTGTGCAATAAATATAAAATCTTCAATTATATATTTATTGTATTAATGATTTTATTGACTTATCATATTCAAGTTATTCAATTCACACCCTAAATCATAAAAAATAGGGCGCGCGTCAAACGCCTGCCAATAACGGTACATAGACAAATTGAAAGAGCACTGAGAGTAAGCCAAAGCAGTTTCCTGTAGTGGAAGCGAAATAAAAAACAGCGATGTCGTTCTATCGCACAAATCATATGGATGAGAGTAAGCCTAAGCAGTTTCCTGTAGAGTGAGCGAAAATGACAGCTATGCCGTTCTACGATACAGGTCATATGTATTCTTACTCTCTTGCTGTGAGAGCATGCGGGCATGTCTCGAACCCGAACAAAAACGAAGGCGACTTTGGACCAGCCGCACTTAAAACGCTTGTCACCACCAATTGTACTGTTTGTCCAGTCTATATGTTCTTTGGTTAGTGTTATACCATGCAATGCAGCTTATGAATAACAGTGGTTCAAAATTCTGTTGTTGTGAATAAGTCACTCCTCCCCACTAAAAATAAAGCGTGTCCTCACGCGTGTTGGGTATATGAAAAAGGTAAGTATAAAAAATGTTCTTTAAATGCTAGGGTACAATTTTGGTAACATACTTTAATTTTCTTGTCCATTTTCAATTTCAAGTTCAACTGGGAGTTGTGCAGGTTGCTGATCAATAACATTTAGTTTCTTAATAAATATTTGTTTGGGTATATTTTTAAACTTATATGATAGATACATTATTATGATTAATATGATGATTAGAAATACTGTAATTATTATTATTATAAAAATTACTTCAATTTTCATGAGTCTATTTTCTTCATCATCGTCAGTATATATAATACGTATTTTTTCATTAATTGTCTTATGTAGTCTTTCTACATCCGCTACACCATTTTTACTTGTTGTTATTTGAATTTCAACTTTTTCCTTATTCAACCATTCTTTCAGGGCAGAGTTGTAGGTTTTCCCATATTGTTAAATATTTGAATGAGTCCTCTTTTAACTTCCATCCAATGCTTGTCGTTAAGTTCAATTACATTTGCAAATTTTGAATTTAAATCAATACACGTTAAAAAGTTGTGTTTTTTTATTAAATAAATATCTACTACGTAAGTTTCTCTAAGTTTTCTACTTCTGGTGTAATTTTAAATTTATATGATGTGTTCCTGTGTTTTATCTTAGCTAGATTACAAACTCCACATTCGTTAATTATGTTTTGGATTAAATTTTGATAGTCTGGAAAATAATATGTTTCTTTAAAAAGTCTGACCATCTTTTCGATACCTGGATGTAAAAGTTTCTTGTGGTTGCTAACTATTATTTCTTTAAATTCTGCATAGCTCTTAATGTCTTTTAATTTAATATTTTGTTCGTAATATTCGAGTTGTTTTGGGGTTTATTATTTCTTTAAAGGCATGTTGTGTTATTTAAAAATTTGAGTCGTATTCAATGAATAATACGCTTCAATTGTTGCAAAAATGTTTTATCAATATCTGTTTAGCTTTTTCAATGTTTAGGTTTAAATATTCGATTTTTATTCTTAATTTTTGAAAATATGGTTCAACTTATATTTTTTCGTCTTCTAAAATAGTATAATGGTTTTTCTGTTAAATGTATTAAGTTTTCATTATCTTCTTCAGCGATATGTGCTGTAGCTTGTGTGTTAATATCATGTTCGTCTAGCATATTTTCATCAATTTTAATGAGTGATAAAGCATCTGCTACGTGGTTTAATTTTTCTTCTAAGTATTTGATTGAGAAATTATATTCACTAAGTTTGATACGCCAACGTCGTAATTTCATTATAGGTTCTTTAATGTTGTTTAGCCAAACGAGTGGCTTGTGATCGCTTAAAATGTCAAATGGTCTGCCATATAAATATGGCCGAAAATATTTTACTGCCCACACTATTGCTAAAATCTCTTTTTCTATTGTACTGTAAATTTGTTCGTGGTCGTTTAATTTTCTACTTGAGAGACTAATTGGCTTGTTATCTTGTGACAACACTGCTCCTATTACAAAATTACTTCCGTCGGTTGTTACCTGAAACTTTTTATTAAAATCTGGTCATTTTAATATTGGGTTTTGCTGCATTTGACGTTATCGGCAGCATCGATAGTTTGCCTAGTTGGGTGCGTTCTTTATTATCAGCCACGCCGATATCTTTTGTCATGGGGTCAGAGTATCGGGGGTGAAGCTGGGCCCACAGCGGCGCCCAATTTATTGAAGCGATTGTTATTGGCCGCCCGATTCGCTCTTAAAGAAATTATAAGGAGAGCGGATCGCCTGCCCTTGGATATGCCCTTGGCCTTCATTTGGGCCGTTGACCCAAAAAAATTCAGCTGTGCAGTTGGGCAGCAACGGTGCCCGCCTCGTAAATGTATGCGAGTGCCGAAATTCGGCACCGATATTGCTGCCCAAATGTACAGCAGGGAGTTCGATTTTATCAGCGGTCAACGGCGGGCATGCCAGCTCGAAGCGAAAAGTTATTTTTTTACATGTCGGCCATATAAAAAAAAAATGTTCTAGAAAAGTTTTCAGCAAATTAAGATTAAACAATGCATTTTTTTTTGCCGTTTAATATTAAAATCCGAATTTAAACATTGTGTCACAATATATAAAAATTAGAAAAAACTTATAACTTACGTGCGACACGAGGCGAACAAATAAAAACCATAAGACAATTAACAAAATAAACGGCTCCGGCAACGAAGGGACCAGCTCTCTGACCAGAGAGGACAACAAAGTCACCCCGGCCAGATTTCGCAGCAGGCAGAGTCAGACGTAGACCTGTGTTCGAGACCCCGACGAAGAAAAGATTTTTTTGTAATTAGAATTAGTTTTTTTGTATTAATATGTAATATACTTACGCCTAGTTACTTGTAAGAAAATTTCCAAAAGTGCAAACAGTGAAGGAAAGGCCCCAAAGATTATTGCGTCTGTCAAATAAATAAAAAAAGAAAATAATTATATTTTTGAGAAATTTTGCACGAGCGATACCCGCTTATACATATATATGTCATACACGATATGTGCAAAATAACCATTATGATGGCCCTTACCGCCTCCACCCAGAGAGCTCTTTAGGCAGGCACGTTATTAAAAGCGCTCTTGACAAACATATAACATCCTTTTTTCTTGTAACACATATATATATACACGCATTTATTTCAGCGGGTACTTGCTCCCCATTGGTCAAATAATTACCTGGTGTTATATCTTTCCCCTTGTTATTTTTTTCTTCTGTTGACTGGCAATAACTTTGCAGTGTTTCGTCGCCTGTTCCATTTAATGTTGTTAAATAAAAATATATTCTGTAAGATAAATGAAATTTTAGAAATTAATACACAATTGTGATAATTATAAGGCAAAGCAAAGCAATAATACGCACCTGTTGACGAATTAAAGACAATGTCAGCTTGCATAGAATAAATTGCAGAATGGGGATACCCTGTAAAAATAGGAGATGTTAAACTTGTTAATAATTAAAGGAAACGCAACCTACGCACCTACTGAAGAGAGAAATGTTCGGCTAAGTCTCAATTGATGGGGAGAGGGGGCATAACAGCCGACACGGGCTGATGCAGGCCATCTAGTGGCCAAAATGTGGGAGACAAGATCATGAGATCGTCTCAGGTAGGGCGGGTACGGGGGTCCGGAACCGGTACCCGATCTGGAAGAGTAAAGTGGATAAATAGTGTTTTTTTGTTAATTTATAATGAGCGTCGCACCTTTGTTGTTTACATTTGCTTGTTGTTACAGCTGTTAGTGTTGTTTATTTGTTGGAAGTTCCGATTGTTTGTTGTTATCGATTATGTGGTTCATTTTGAATAGTGTTGTATAGGTAGGTTTTGCTACAGACGTTGTAGTTTTGTTGATTTCGATTGACTGCGGGCCAGGGATGGGACTACACCTAGAGAACCGATGAGCCAGCCGGCGCGGCCCACAGAGAAACAAGCAGTTCCGTAACAGTCGTTCATAATTAATAATTATAACTTTTCAAAGGCTTTATTGTATTCAACATTTTTATTGTCAATTTATGCTGCTTTCTTTAGGTAAAGAGTCATGGGTTTTGCAATTTTTGCAAAATCTGGAATGAACTTTCGATAATAACCACATAAACCTAGAAATGATTTAATTTCCTTTGATGTTTTTGGCAAATGAAATTCTTGTATTGCTTTTACTCTCAGTTTGTTTGGCCGTAAGCCTTCTAATGTGGCCTAAAAATTCTGTTTTCTTTTTTAAAAATTCGCACTAATCTAATTGGAGTTTCAAAATTGCCTGTCTTCATTTTTCAAAAACTTTATTTGTTGAATTTAAATGTTCATCAAGTGATGTGGAGAAGCCAATAATGGCGTCCAAATAAACAAGACAATACTTGTTAATTAATTCACGAAGAACATGATTCATGCACCTTAGGAATGTTGCAGGTGCATTTTTAAGTCCAAATGGCATTCAAGTATACTCGTAATGTCCGTATTTGGTAGAAAATGCTGTTTTATTAATTGATTTCTTGTCCATCTCAATCTGATGGAAACCTTTTGCTAAATCTATTGTTCTAAAGTATGAGCATATTGCTAATTTTTCCAATATCTCGTCTATGTTTGGAATGGGAAATTTATCATTTATTGTAATGTCGTTCAATCCTCTGTAATCGACCACTAATCTAAATTTTGCCTTTCCTGAGGCGTCTGCCTTTTTTGGTTCGAAAACGAAAGGGTAACCGTATGGTTTCTTGTAAATTGGATTTTCATGATGTGTATTAATTTCGTGCTTAAAAATGCTCGTGAAGGTCAAATTGTCACCTTCTCGATATTGGGTGTCACTGAAATTTTTCAGTAATTTTAATAGTTTTGTTTTTTTTTCATCGTTTAGATGATCAACTCGGTAATCTTTTCCCGATGTTATTTCATTATTTATTGCGTAATTAATTTCTCGTGTATAAATTTCTGGTTTTAAATATGCTTCGAAGTTTTTTTCTGAATTTGGATCCCAAACTAATTTCTTATGATTGAACGTTTTCTCGCTAATTATTATTCTGCCATTAGCGTAGTCAATTATTGCGTCGTTTGCCTTTAATACATTTCTGCCTAAAAGTATATCATAATGAGTATATCAAATATCTGGTCTTGCCTAAAGAGCTTATTAGGAGCAATGGATACATAATGGTTTAGTTTTGATACCCCTGTCATAGTTCTAATCGGAGTAGGTCTTGTATAAACTGGTATATTAAGGAAATTTTCCCTCATCATATTTATTGACGACCCAGTGTCCATGAGACATCTGTAGCGTCTGTTATTAATTTTAATTTCTATGTACTGGCTTGTAACGAGGCTCCAATTGGAAAATGTTCGTCTTTTATTTCGTTTTTTTGAATCTCCTCATATTGGTTGTTCTGACAACCATACTCTTCTTGTACATAGTTGCCCTGATAGTTTTCTGATTGCTGATAATTTTCATCAACCTGCATTTTTTGGGAACTACTAGTATTTTCTCGCACACGAGAAATCCGACGATTGATTTGGTATATACCTACCTGGAGAAATATGTTGATTTTCGTGGTTATTTATTTGTGCTTGTTGTAAATTCTGTTTGAGTTCTTGAGCTAGTTGCTTATTTTGGTTAAAAAAGGTTTGGTTGTTTGGAGGGTGTTGGAAAAATGGTGGCTTTGATTATTTTTATTAGTTAAGTAATTTGAGGTAAATTGAGGTTTAGTATTTTCTGTATAATTTATAGCATTGTTAGTATTTTGTTTTGTTTACCCTAAACCAATTAAAAATTGGTAAAAGGGGTATAATGTATTTGTGCAAATGTATGTAACAGGCAGAAGGAAGCATCTCCGACCCCATAAAGTATATAGATTCTTGATCAGTTCTTGATCAATAGCCGAGTCGATCTAGCCATTTCTGTCTGTCTGTCCGTCCGTCCGTCCGTATGTATGAACGCAAGGATCTCAGAACCTATAAGAGCTAGAGACTTGAAATTTTAACTGTAGGTCTTCCTAGTGCCCGCGCAGTTAAAGTTTGTTTCCGATATTCGATAACTTGCCCCGTTCCGAAGTAATCGGTAAAAATCGATATCGAAATCCTGATTGTTGAGCAAATTGGGTTACCAATAAGAGCTAGAGACACCAAACTTGATATGTTGCTTTTAGAATAGTATATATATATCAGTATCTTTCATTTTATACCCATCACCACCTCCCCGCTACCACCACAAAACTATAAATCAAGTAAATAAACCAATTTACATATGCTGCCCATCAATATAAGCCACAATTTAAATGCAATTGTGAGAATACACGAATATTTTAAAGTAAAGTAGTGCGGTTAGTTGCGAGTTCGAACCCTGCCAAGGAAATTTTTTTTTAATTTATCTTTATTACGACTAAGAGCTGCATTTGGTATTGGAAGAAGAGGGTTCAGGGTAGCCTCTAGTCGGGAGCTTTGAAATAGTGGATATGTCATATCTTGCGAGTGACATAAAGAGTCTATCTGGTAGTTTTTTATGCATTAAGTTTTTTATAATGTTATGTCATAGCGTTTGTATACAATCTTCAATTATCTAAATTCCCTTCTAATTCTGACTTGTCAGTTATATTTATTATTTTAGCCTCTACCTAACTACAAAATTTACGCAAATTACCTTGATAATTGGTATTATATAATCTTCGCTTTACTGAATTGGGACCAGTTGTTGATTTGCAGCATTCTAGGTACCTTCTAGGCATCTCCGGATATCTGGAGCTCAATCGCCCAGAATATGATGCATTGTTGTCGTTCATTGTGAGTAGGGTTATAGGGTCTCCCTCAAAGGCTGGCACGTTCCGTATTTGTTGAAGCAATTGGTATACATTTTGTTCGTTTAATTTATTCATTGCTGGAAGTGCAGCAACATGAGAACCTTCTGGTTGCTCCATTTTTTAATAATTTTAGGTATTTAGTTTATGTGTTGCAACGACCGAATTGGATTTATACTTTGTTGAATTGTTTTGACACGTCAAGTTCTTTTCGGAAAGCGAATTTTGGAATTGAGATATGTTCGATTTAGTTGTAATACTGTGCACAATTACACTTGTTGATCAGAAAAGACACCAGTTGTATGGATAAGCCTCTCTTTAATTGATCGTATCACTCACGAGCTTTAATTTATTTCTTTTCACAAAATGTTACGCTATCCCACCGGCTGGGCCAATAACGTAGTTTTAAGTTTAAAAATAAAAAGACTTTATTTCACGAGAGTGAATTTGTATCAGTTTATTATGTTGAATATCTGGATTAAGACTGAAGACAAAAATTGGCTTACGCTATATTTAAAGCTAAATAATAATTGGAGTACGTTACTTTTTGCAAAGGGACAGCAGCTCCAGCTTGTTTATGCTAGCCCCTTTCTGTTGGTCAGTTTTTGTTTATAAATGATTGTTGACAATATGTGAGCTTGGCTGCAGAAGGCATTCTGCTCTTATGACTTTTGCTGCTGTTAGTATTATTTGAATTCGGCTACAGAAGGCATGCTATTGTTATGAATATTCAATTTGTAAACACACAGTGGGTTATACCATGCAATGCAGCTTATGAATAACAGTGGTTCAAAATTCTGTTGATATGAATATGTCACTATATAGTATATATATAAAGTATAGTATAGTCTAAAAGAGGTTGACTGATGCATTAATAAATATAAGTAAATATTATAATTAAATTGAAGTTGTTATGTATGTGATTTTAATAATAAATTTAGTAGCACGTGCATTTTTATATGTATATCAAATCATTGTGGTAGGAGAGTAAGCATTTCAACACTCATACTTTAAATGTATTCAGAAGAAGCGGAGAAACAATAACATAAAATATGAGTAGACAACGCAGTGAATAATGCTGCGATAGAAATTAAATTCAATAATTTATTTGTTATTTGTAATTAATTAATTTGTATCAAATGGAGTTGGAACGATGAAAATGATGAAGCAATATTCGTTTTTTAAACTTTTTTATTTTGCAAAATTCCAAGTGGGAACCACATTTATACATATAAATAGTGGGTATACCCCGGCCTTGCCCGTGGCACTTATAAAATAAATTCTCTCAAGTATCTTCGAAAATGATTTTGAAACTGATCAGACGAAAAACAAAAAGCTTTCTTACAACCGTTTTCCGCCAATTTACCACTGTTGCAGGTGTAATTTCCAAAATCGCTTAAACACGTATTCATTAAACTCCTATGTAGTGCTTTGAAAGTAAATTTAAAGCAAATCGGACAAAACTTAAAACTTTACCCAAAAAATCTTTGAATAGCACTCTACTTCTGCTAAAAATGTGAAACACGTCGCAAATGATTTTTCGTAGAGATCCTTGGAAAGGAATTTGAGCGCAAAATATCACCCACCAAATTATTAACCCCTATTTCCACCAAGGGAATGCATTTTTCGAAAAGTATGCAACACCCCCAAATGAATTTAAACAAATCGCTGAAACACGTATTCATTAAAAATAAGTTTGAAGCAAATCGAACACAACTTAAAATTTCTCCGTCACGAAATACCCAAAATCTACACATAACTAAGCATCTGATTCTCAAGCTCGCTGCAAAACTGTGCAAAATCAAAGGTAACAAAACTAATAAAACTTACTAATACAAAATCGCACGTCGATCGGTAGCTTCGTTATTGTCGTGTGGTGCTAATAATTTATTTGCATTTCAAAACCCTTTTAATTCAGATTTCAGATGGCACTTATGCGAACGACGTGGACATTCCCCTACCCTCCATCAACAAATTTAACTGAACATGTTTATTTTCATCAGGTGCGTATAATTGGGCATCCACTTATATTTATTACAATTGAATAATTTCGCTTAAAT